CCCCAAAACCCCAAAACCCCAAAACCCCAAAACCCCTAAAAGGGAATTTTAAATGAAAATCTCTAAGACAGAGCCAAACTATTGAGCAAGAGGCTGTGCCCCCACTATGGTAACTCTCAGTACCCTTTGATTTCAAGCAGATTATGATTGAAGCCAAAACTTACTTATGCTTCATGAAAATCTGAGGATGATGATTCATACTTGAGCAATCTTTTTCGCAGCTCCTCATTCTCTAAAGCTAGTTCCTTATTCTTCTCATTTGTTTTTTCTACTATTTAAGAATGAGTCTCACTTAGGTCGTAGGAAGCTTCACTGACTGCATCATCTAACCTGTGAACTTCCTTTAACAAATCTGATGAAATTTGTATAGAGTTTTGAAGGGCCTTGGATCACTGGCGTAATTCTTTCTTCAGTAATTTCACCTAGATATATCAGAAATCTGGATAAGAAATACAGCTTACTCCCTTGGGTTGCCTTTCCGTGTTAGTAGATTTATTAACCATCTGAGGACCTCCTGTTAGTCACGTATTAAACGATGTAAATTGCCCTTTGTTGAATTGGCTTGATACATTCAGTTTTCAGTTATTTGGCTCCTTCTCAATTGTTGAACACAGTGGGTTTACAAAATCTAAACAGTTCAGACTTTCTTTAGAATTCAGGGACTTACTTGATTGCTCTTGTAGTTCTTGAGTTGAGGTAGAATCCTCCTTTGATGATGTTTGGCCTTTTACATGGCTAAATATCAATTTCTTCTCTCTAAAATAAGAAATTCAAAATACCGGTTAGCTACTATTTTTCGAGCAGAATTCGCTTTGGTGCATCTCTCATCAGTGCTATCCTCGACGTGGTCGTCACTTATTTGATCATTCTCAAGGATTTCCCGCATTCGGTCCTCAGTAACCTTGGCATGACTGAGTAAATTTTCAAAAGCCTTATTTAATTTCTTCGCTTGTCATTTTCCCTGTATCAGGCCATCGGGAGCCAAAACGATGAGTGCCGTAGCTAAGATCGAAATTTCTAGTAGATTTCACTGGAGAGATCTTGGTCTTATCAATAGCACTCCGCTTACGAGCATGTTTAACCTCACCGGTCTCCCTAGAAGTTACTCTGGTTGGTTTTCCTAAAATTTTAACTAAATGATTACTATCAGAGCTCTGAAGAGCTCTCTCTCTGGACTTATAAAGCACAGTGTTGAACGAATTTGAAACCAGCTGCCCACGTGGGTTGAGTCGGGACCGGACAGACACCGGCTGCTTGACTTCTTCCAGCCTATCTTTCCCTATACCTGCTAAAACATGCTTGATTCAAGAGCTTAAAGTACCTTTCTTCGAGTCTGACAAGTAAAACCTACTTCCATGGCTCAGTCTGCTCTGCGAAGTGATGCTCCTGTACCTCATCGGGTTGTAGTTTGATAACCTATAAATTCCTTATAAGTCATTCTCAAAAATCGTGTGGAGAATTTTTAATATTTATGCTTTAAATTTAGCTGTCGGCTGATCAGGAAAATTTACCATTTTGTAAAATTTTTTGGAAATTTCGGATTTTTAGGGAATATGGGAAATTTACAGATTATTTAGTGATTATTATCAAAGAAAAAGTTAGATTTATGTCTAATAATCTCTGATAAAGATTGATAGATATTGCTATATACTTGAGTTTTTAGGATAGCAATAACTTTTCTGAAGATTCTTGACTTCTTGCTTAATATTTTAACAATAATTCATTTGAAATGTGTCTTTGATGTTATTAAAGGAAATATAAAGTTCCAAGGCACTTACACATCCTCACCAGTTGAAAGATTACTTTTAGAATCTTCTTTTAAATTTAATTTCTTTGATCTTCTCTTTGAGGGAACTCTCAGCTGTTAAAGAGGTTAAGCCTTTTTCATAAAAATAAATTGAGGCTAAATAACTCTTACCAAATCAGTTTGCTTTGGAATTTTAGTGCATTTTCTAGGTTGATGCCTCTTCATTGTCATTAAAGCATTTATAGTTTCTAAAATTATGTTAAACTGATAATAGTGGTTTTAAAGATAGCCAAAAACCTATAAATCATTCCTTATCTAAATAATCTCCACAATAACCCACAATTTTCAACCCAAATTACCTAAGACCAGCTTTAAAATCCTTCAACACTCCTTCAGCACCTTTCTTCCCCCTACTCTCCGCTGAAAATTTCTCCACATAAACAACTTCAGTATCAACTGAATTAGCAATTCCTTCATGAATCATAGTCTCCATTTTCAAATTTTAAATTCTAATCCTAAGCCAAGGGGTTTTGGGGTTTTGGGGTTTTGGGG